TATGAAAAGAGTATACAACTAGTCACTTGTACAACTTTAGTCATTGTCTAATTTAAGTAGTTTGCCTAAAGGTTCTACACTAGTTGCTATATCTAACCTACTTGTAAGATCTCTATTTAAACACTTTAATCCTATATTCACCACATTCTATCAATGACTTTAGTAAACTAGTGAAGATATGCTATGATCACTAAGTTATATTTAACTTTGTATTAAAACTACTAGTATGTTCTGTATCTCATACTTATAGCTTATGCAGTATCACTTTGGCCTAAATCATTACTTGCAGTTAGGGCTAACTATTAAATCACTTTTACTCTTGTAAGATTTATCCAAAACTCTAATACTTCTTTTTTTAACATTCTCTTCATTATTCTCTACTAACCACTACTTAGGACTGACAGAACTTCCTAGACTTCCAATTCAGATGGCCTGATATAATATACCTTAGTATCTTTTTTCTCTGGCAATTCTAACAATCTGGTTGGTTATATGCTTCTTTATATATCTTGTTATCTGGTTTATCTGCCTATCTCTTTGGAGGTGTTTCATAGACTTTCATCAGTCTGACAGTATCATTGAAAGTTTTGTGTTATCTTCTTATTCAGGATTTTCAAGTGGGTTTTTGACTTTTTAGTTCTTTTGCTTTTCATATCTGGTGGTTTTATCATAGGTTTGCACTGAAGTCTTATGCAATATTAGTTATTAACATTTCTCTATATAGATATATCATTACACTTAGCATAGATGCTTTAAGCTCTTATTCGAGATACCATATTTTCACAGAATAATGCTCATCTGCATGTTATTTTGAGTATAGGCATGTTATTTTGAGTATGCACATGTGCGTTAATTTGAATTAAAGATTAAATTTTCGCCAATTCTGATTTTTAAAATAATGCACATATGTGTTATTTCAAAAGAAATATATATTGATATCAAGTAAATTTTCTAAATATAATCATATAAATAAAGTTTGTAATTTAAATTCGATAATTTTTGGTTTTTTCTTGGCACTATTCTATAAATGAATTTTGAAATACTAATAGCTAAAGATTCATTTTGAGGTATGTAGAAGTTTAAAATACATAAAGTATAAGTAAGAATATTATATGAATGTTGTATTTTAAAGTTAGTTAAGAGTTACTTTTATTTTGTGCAATTTTATTATATTATAAAAACATAGTTTATAACTATTTATTTTAGAATTGATTCAACATAGTTTTGAATGTTTAATATTAAAGTGACAGAACTTCTCTTGAATAAAGTATAAAAAGATCAGAGGTTCAGCTTTAATTGACACATGAGTATAATGATTTTAAGCTACATATTTACCAAACTTGCCTCTCTTTAGTTTTATCTTGTTCTTTATTAAAATGCATCTGAATTCTAATTAATTGGTTTCTCAGATTCTTAGATGTTAATCAAAAAGTTTACCAATTTATTTATTTTATTTTAAATAAAGAAATTGCACTTAAATTTTGGCATTTGTACTCTCTTTTAATTTAGTAGATTTTAGACAATTTGATTTTTTTTTTTAAAAAAAAGAAAAAAAAAGTTATTAGATTAAGTACTATACATATGTAAATATTTTTTTTTTCTATACCTCCCTACTATGTATTACTTTTTAGAGCATTGCTCTATTCAATTTATTTAATGCAATTATGCCTTGATTCTTTTTACAATTATTCCTTATAAAGGCTAAGGTTTTTATATAATAACGCCTATCTGCTATTTTAGGAGCCAAAGGAGTCTGATAAATACTTATTTATTAAGCTTCACCCAGTTTTTTTTTCTTAACAAATAGCCAAATTGCCAACCTTGTATTCATGATGTAAACAAGAAAATCAAATATTTCCTAAATTATTAACTTAATAAAGTGATTTATTTACATACACTATTGTTATCAATAATTTAAAGAATATTAGATTTCAATATGCTACGTACTATACACTTTGTCTCTATAGGAGGAGTGGCTTTTGGATTTTCTATATTATTTATACATGTACGTACATACGAACATATGTCTTTTAAAAGAATAGAATTTCAAATAGGTGATAATTTTAGAAATTTTAGTCTTAATTAGTTAATGCTAACTAGGATGCCTTTGTGAAATTTCTAAAATCATAACTTCCAGCTTTTTCTTGGCATAATTCACAAACCCTACTATGTAGTACCAATACTACATTACTATGTAACTATAGGTTTTCTGAAACTATTTAACTCAATATTTTCCAAACTCTTGGTGATTTTTTTAAAAGAATATTTAATGATTAAACTAAGATTATCTTTTATTCTTATAAAAATTTATTTTCAATGCTGCCTTCAAAATGTTATTACCATTACTGATAATTCACCTTTATCAAGAAAGTGTGAAGAAACTTACCGTATAATAAACAGATACAAAGAATCATTTAAAGACTTAACTAAGTCATTAAAAATTGAATCAAATAATACATTGACCTTAAAAAATCAGGATATATTTTATAGTATGGTATGTATACATCCTTTTTGTTTTCTGTATCACAAATATTCATGATATAAAATGTAATGTTATTTTTATTAGCTTGGGTGCACAGGTTGTTTACTCTATTTTCAAGTGAACATGAATACAAAACGAAGTTTTACTATCATGTTCAAGCTTGAAGTAATCTCATATGCAGAATAAACTTCCAATCAGAAAGCTTTACTGTTTTACAAAATTTACTGAAGGTGTGTTCAAGTGTGGTGCAAGCAAAAAAAAGAGTTGGAAAAAATTAGAGACAATAAAAACTTAAATATAGAACAAGTGCAGGTTCTTGAGGGTCGTAGCAAGAAGGCAGCATGCCCTGAGTTGGAAAAAAAGCTGTTGGAATTTATTAAAGAGAAGAGAAAAAAAAAAGAAACAGTAATGACATCAATGATAATAAAAAAAGCCAAACATTTAAGTGAACCTATGGGTATTAGAAGTATGAAATTTTCATGCAGTTGGGCCGAACATTTTAAGCAACAGCATAAATTAGTAAAACACGCTTGAACACAGATAGCCCAAAAGGTTCCTGAGGATAAGCCTTTAATTATTCAAAATTTTCTAATAACTTTGTGTGAAAAAACATACACCATTGAAAAAAAGTATAGTATATCTTTTGATGAAACCCCAATGTGGTTTGATATGCCACGAGATTCGACAATCGATTTCAAAGATATTCGTGAGATGCCAGTTAAGACCACGGGCAATGAAAAACTACGATTTATAGTGGTTTTGGGTTATACAGCAGCTGGAAATAAGCTTCCACCAGCAGTAATTTTCAAATTAAAAAAAAAACCAAGAGGCAGATTCCCACGAGATGTTGTAGTAGCAGTGGTGCCTTCTGCAAATATGACTAGAGAATTAATGATTTTTACATATATTCCACAAGTTATTAAAGCTAGGCCAAATGGATTTTTTAAAAGCAAAGGTATCATTTTTGTCGATACACACCGTAGTTATAATCGTGTTTATGTAATTAAAGTATTAAATTCAGAAGGCTTAGATGTGTTGGAAATTCCTAGTGAACCTACTAGTGTTTTGCAGCTGCCAGATGTCTCTGTAAACAAGCCTTTTAAAAACAGAATAAGAAAAAGGTGGGAAGAATGGATGGATAAAGGAAAAAAAAGTTATACTAAAATGGGAACCAAAAAAAAGCACCATACAACTTGTGTGTGAATGGGTATTTGAGACGTGGAGAGAAATCAGTTCAAATATTTTAGTCAAATCTTTTAAAGCAACTGGACTTACACTCAACCCCGATGGCAGTGAAAATGGTAAGATGTCACATTGTCTCCAAGCTATCATCAAAAATCGCCTGAATGAATTACTTATCGAAGATATGTATTTAGAAAACCCAAATTATAATAATAGTGAGCTGGATGATGAATTGGATGATGGTGAGCTAGATGATGATGAGTTTGATGATAGTGAGCCCGATGGTGAGTTGGACGATGATAATTCAGAAGATGAAATTGATGATGAACTAGAAGACTTTGAGCTGGATTATTATAATGAATATTATTGATGTAGATAGCTGTGAGAAAATGCAAAATAATAAAGTAATAGAAATTAATTAATAATAATGATTAATTAATAAACAAATAAATAAATCTCCGAAGTAAAATTCACACATATTAATAGTTTTTTTGATAACTTGAAATATCGTTAGCCACTTTTCAAGATTTTAACAGATCTAAATAATTTGTCGAAGTAAGGCAATTAATTATTTTTTTTTCACGATTGAATTTTAACTGATAGAGCAACTACTTTAATTATAGTAAAAATTAGATGTTTCCATGATAGCCTATTATCTTAAATCCAGTTATCATATTTAATATATTAGATCACGTAGAGTATAGGGTATAAGATTAGAAATAACTTACAGGATTGCTGTGCTAAAATAGTGATAGATAATCATTTTGCTAGGGGGTTGTGATTCTATAAGCCATAATATACTGTTTTTGAAAATTGGTTAAAACTTGAGATAAACTTTATTTTATATACTGGTATATATATTCTTTTAATTATAAAATTCTTATAATAAATTTAATTAACAATACCATAATTACTTGATTTAGTTAACTGATTAGTATTAACCAAATGTCTAAAAAATTTATCAATTGTTGCAATTATGCTAAGACGTTTATGGCATAAAAAGTCTAGCTTCTATTCGTTAATGCTTTGTAACTACTATTATGTCAATAATGTTGCAAAATCTGACATGCAGACAAATATGATATGTAATAAATGAACATAATTGTTTTCATGTCTCATATCTTAGCAAATAACTATATAATCTGATGGTTTTCAGCATACCTGGCCCAACTCCTTCTGTTTACTATTCTTTTTTGATGGTATTGAGTATGTTACTTAAATGTTTTAAGTACAAAATTTTTATACTAATCATTTAAAGGCCTCTAATAGATGATTTGGTGTTAATAATTTAACTGCAACTTGAGTAATCCGTAGATTTTAGATATTGCAGTATATTAGTGATATCTAACTCTTACTGAGTATAATGCGATATTAGCAGGTCTGATATACGAAAATTTATAGGTATGATGAGAAAATGCTTGCAAACTTTGGTAAATTAATTTGAACAATGTTATATAGGAACAGACATTTTATTATTTCTAAATTTAATGTTTTAGTGAATTTAACTTTAATTTATTTAGAATTTTTGAATTTAAAAAAATCAATTTAGTATTAGAAAAACTTCAGAGTTGAAAATGATGAAAATAAAATATTTGGAATGTGAGCATCGTGGAATTGAAGTCAAATCAGACATTGATTAATTTTTTGTTAGTGGGATTGAGGTTGAAAAAGATAAATATATGGTAAAGTATCCATTATTCAAATTTGTGCAAGAATACTAGCAGAACTAATATGATAATATTAATTTTTTAGTACTAATAATTCTAAGCAGAATTGAAGCTGAAAGAAAAAGCTTTATAATAGCAATGTTTGTAAAATTCAGATTAAAAAGGATAAATGTTAGGTAAGGCAGTGACAACAGAAGCGACCGTTCAAATTCGTAGATTATTCCGATATAGCTACACAATTGATAAATTATTTTTTTATACATTTTACAATACTTATTTTAAAAGCTTAGGTAGCTTAAGTTTTTATGAAACGAGAGTAAATTTAACGAATGAATTAATGCTTTTACTTCACCTTATAACATACAGTATTCTTTGAATCACATGAATTCCACAGCTTTAAAGATGAGCAAGGTAATTTACTTATTATGTAAAAGTTAAATCACATTATGCGACAATTTAGTATGTTATTAGTTGTAAGTATATATTATTAGTAAATTATCACATAGTGTGATTTAACTTTTACATAATAAGTATATTACCTTGCCCATCTCTACATAGCTTTTTTTTTATGATTTGATTGCCGATTTACTAAAATTTGAGATATGATTGGTTGATAATCATATATAACTATAATGGAAAATCTACGAATTTGAACAGTCATTCCTGTTGGCAGTTATATTTGTATTGGTTTAAAAGAAAATGTTTATCGAAATGGAGTTAAGAAGTTATTTCAAATAGAAAATCCTAACTGAATCGGAATTGAGAAATATGAAACAAGATACTTATTAATTTATTGAAATGGAGAATCTAGAATTGAACATATATGTATTTGTCTGTTTAAATAAAAAATGATAGAATTAAAATTTAATATTAATGTAAGGCTTTTATTATTCGAATCCAACAAAACAAGAAATTGTAGAATCAGAGTTAAAATGAATAAACCATTTAAATAGAATATGAATTATTGTTTTTAATAATAAACATATAATAAAGATATTAATTTTAATATATGTTCGATAGATATATAATTAATGTTAATTTAAATAGTAATGTTTTTATAACTAGTTATTTTATGAATTTTATAAAGTTTGAAATTGGAATATTTGACACTTTATATAGTTATATAATATGGGTGCACATTATTTCGGGACACACATGAGTGTTATTTTGAGATCATATATGCTATTTTTAAGGGGTATGATTTTCGAATTAACGCTCATGAGCATTATTTCGTGAAAATACAGTAGTACAACTGAAGGTTACAGATACACTAATCCAACTAATTAACAGAGACAGTTACCATAATACAAACCTATTTTTTAAAATTTGTTATCTATAGGATTTGAACTCTAGACCTGTTACTTAAAAGTTAACAACCTGATCACTTTACTAGGTTGTCACATCTCTTTTTTTATTAATATTTATATAATTAAATATATATATTTAAATAATTTATTTATTAAAAATGCTAAAAACACTTCAAATTATTTAATTAATTATATTGCTGATTATAATATATAGTAAAATAGTTCTAATCTAGTATAGATACATTTAATACAAATTAAGGTTTATATTAAACTACTTATTATTCATCTTATGACTTATGAAAACTTTAATAACATAAAAATAGAAAACATTTGTATAAAATTAATTTAACAGAACAAAAATAGAGTTTACTAAAAAATTTCATAAAAGTTCTTGAATCATTTGCAAAAACTATCCAATATTTGGGTAACTCATATTATTTAATACATAACCTTATATATCATGTTATTAAAAAATTAAATTAAATATTTGAACTAATAACTATTAATATAGATAATTTAAATATTAAAAATGAAAAAGATACATTTAATAAAAAAGATGAACAAACTAATAAAAAACAAATTACATTAAATGATCATAATAATGCTATAGACTTGCTATATAAAGTTAAAACAAAAATATATAATACATTGTTATTATTATCCTGATCTAATATCTCAAAAATTAGTATTTGCATTATTAGATCCTTAACTTAATTTTTTAGATTTTGTCAAGATTACAAATAAATTAGCAGCTAAAAAAATTCTTAAAAACTTACATAATAACAAAAAACTATTAGAAAATAAAGAAAATTTAAGGTATATATAGTTTTGCAATTTATATTTTATTTTATTTTATTGATTTAATATATATTTATATTATTTTTTTTTTACAAAATAACAAATATGAAAATCAAGATTTAAATAATGCTAACAAAACAAATAATTATATGCCTAACAATAATCTTCTATATACATCTTGTTTACTACAATTATTGAAAAAAAATGATTCTCAAGTAGCAAATAAAATTGAAAAATACTTTAGAATTTCTGAAATGAGTTTAAGAAAAGATTCTTTAAGTTAGTAGGATTTATATTCAAAAAATTTCCAATTTTATCTAAATTGGCATGAATATACTTGTCAATCTCCACAACTTCAACTCCTAGTGAACATTTGTTTAATAATGCTAGTAACTTATTAACATTAAAAAAAATCTGAATTACATCTTAACTATTTAAAAAAATGATATTTTTAAAAAGAAATGTTGAGAAATATCAAAATATTCATCCTTCTGAATAATATATGCATATTTTTATAAATATTATGTAGAATTTGCAAATTTGTTTATAATAAACATATTATATATTGGCTTTGTAATAAATATATATATATGTATTGCAAATTTGCTTTGTAATAAATATACTGATGCATAGCACTAATAGTAATATAAATAAAATTATATTAGTCAAATATCTGTTATATAGATAACAGATTTATTATCCTATTTAATCTCAGATATCAGATATTTTTTTAAAAATAAAATCTGAGTCAAATAGGATTCGAATAGTTAAATCGAACCTCTAATTGATTAAACATAGATATCAGATTATATGAATTCCAAAATTGACCAAAATTTAAAAAAATTTGAATCCAACTTTTTGGGCCAAAATAATAAAGCCTCAGGTGATAATTGAGCATCTTAGTTTGGCTGGCATTAACGGATTGAAATTAATTGGTCTAAACTATAACTTAGTCTTTACTTTAACTCTAACTTTAATTTAGCAGACTTTAGGATAGTTACTAGCATCAACAACTCTACTTAAGATATACTTAGAGTTGTTAAATTATATAATTTTGTAAAATTTTGCATAAGTTTCAGTAAGAAACATGATCATATGCTCATATGATTGATTGAATCATATGTACATTGATCTGGTCTGTGAACTTTGTGCAAAATCTACTGTAGTTCAATAATACTAGCTGAGTTTTTCATAGTGCTGATACTATATATCGTGTGTAAAATTTATATGAAATCCATATTACTGTAACTTGCATGAAATTATAATATTTACTAATTTCTCCTCCAAGTTTCTCATTAGTCATAGATCAATTATATTTTTGATTGGATGAAATTGATGATCCCCAACAACATGATATCTATTGACCAATAATATCATTGCATCACAAATAAAAAAAAATCTTATGTTTTTTTTTTTAACAATGCTTACAAGCACTCAAGCACTAGAGTATAATTAAAATGTTCAAGAAGACTATTATGCAACCAAATTTAAATTAATATACTCAACAATAACTAAAGAAATGCCTGGCCTTTGATCATAAATTAATTCGAGTAGTTGAATATATAATAATAAGTTTTTACTCTATATTTTACCTTTTT